CCAGCTCTCCGAAAATTTGCGCTTTGCTTGCATTATATAAGCCCGAGGGCATACAACTTTGTAAGGAATTCATTCAATTCTTGTTTACCACATCCATTTACTTTACGTACATGGTATAAGAGTTTTGACGGTAGCCCAGGATTTACGGATGAATCACTTGAATGTATTAAGTTATTACTTAAGCGTGCTAAAGATAAAACAATTTATTGCGCTCTATCTCTGGATGAAATGGCGATTCGGAAACATGTCCAGTGGGACGGTAAGCAATGCGTGGGATTAGTAAATTTTGGAGAAGTGTTAGATGGACATAATGTTGCTGTTGCTAGGGAAGCACTAGTATTTATGGTCACCGCTGTAAACGATAGTTGGAAAATTCCAGTGGGCTATTTCTTGGTGGATAGTTGTACAGGGGCACAAAAGGCAAATTTGGTAAAACAATGTGTGGAAATTTTAATTTCATGTGGAGTTAATATAATTTCACTGACGTTTGACGGTTGTCCTGCCAATTTTTCTATGGCCAAATGCCTTGATTGTCTTTTGGATCCTTTAGATTTGAATAATCTTAAAAATTCTTTTACCATTAATAATCAAGAAATCTCAATTTTTCCCGATCCAGCACATATGCTGAAATTAGTAAGAAATACCCTTGGAGAAAAAAATGAGCTTACCAACTTAATTGGTCAAAAAATATCTTGGCAATTTATTGTTAATCTTCATAATTTACAAAATAATGAAGGCCTTCATTTGGCTAATCGACTCCGAAACCAACATATAAATTTTGCAAAACAAATTATGAAAGTAAAATTGGCAGCCCAAACGTTCAGTAATTCTGTAGCTGAATCTATAGAATTTTGTCGAAAAGATTTAGGATTGGCAGATTTTGTTGATTCAGAAGCTACCGTAGAATTTATAAAAAATATTAATAGCATATTTGATATTTTAAATAGCAGAAACTTCCATACATTTGATTTCAAGAAACCTATGAATAATAAGAACTACCCTGACATTGAAATGTTCTTGAATGAAATGGAAAATTACATAGTTGGATTGAAATTAAAAGATCAACCAATATTACAGACTAATAGAAAAGTAGGGTTTTTTGGATTCTATATTTGTATTAAGAGTCTTAAAAATGTTTACAAAAATTTAATCGCTTCCAAGATTTTGAACTTTGTGCCCTTGTACAAAATGAGCCAGGATCACCTGGAATGCTTTTTTAGCTCTATTCGTGCTAAAGGTGGATTTAACAATAACCCAACAGCTATGCAATTTAAAGGCGCATATAAAAGACTAGTTATACATGGGGAAATAAAACATATTACATCAGGAAATTGCATCCCACTAGAAGACATAAAAATTTTAACTTTCAGCGAAATGCGGTACGAAAATAAAATTAATTTATTTACGCATACAGCTAAATCATTTGATAATTTCGAGTCAGTAGAAAGTTTACCAGCTGTCGATAGTGACCATGACTACTTGTCAGACCCCTCTAGGCTTTCTTTGTACACACAAGAAGTCATTGCGTACATAGCCGGATTCGTTGTAAAAAAGTTGAAAAAAGTAATTAAATGTGAGGAATGCCTCCTAACTTTAATGTCTAATAAGTATGATGGATTTATTGCCAAAAAAGATAAAGGAGGGTTGATCTATCCATCGAGGAGCGTAATCAAAATATGCGAACGTGCTGAAAAAATATTTAGATTGCGTTCACATGAAGGTATCAGCTTTTACAATGAGAAAAACTTAATGCAGAAATTAATACTTTCATGTTTTAAGGACTGTTTAAATGACATTTATATATTTGAAAAACTTCACAATAATGATGACCAAACACTGATTGGAAATCATAGAATAATGCTTTTGAAAGCAGTCGCCATGAATTACTTTGAAGTAAGGATTCACTATAGTACCAAACAGTTTTTTGCACCCAGCGATAGGATTCGTAATATACATAATAAACTAGTGTTATTCAAAGGGCAATAAATGATTCTCTCTGTTCTCTGTGATCTTGTAGAGTATGTTTACATTAATAAAAATTGTTGATTGTGATTCAGGTAATGTTTTTATTTTGGACCCTTGATTTGTTGTAGCTTTCGAGGATTTAAGTTTTAAGAGCGTTGATATAATGAACCATTGATAAAAATGTACCATCGATCTCGTAATCCGATCGTATAACGAGCCTTTTAACTACCTACTCGGCTTGATAACTACCTAGAAGAATATTTATATATATTTCAATCGAATATAGTATAATATATATATTACTAGCTGCGCCCTGCGGTTTCAACCGCATAAGTGTCGATCGCGTAAGAATATCGGGATAAAAAGTCTATATGTTAATCCAGGGTGTCAGATACCTCCATACAAAATTTTATCAAAATTGGTCCAGCCGTTTGAGCGTGAAGAAGTAACAAACATATAAACACACACGAACACTAATAAACTTTCGCCTTTATAATATTCATGTGATTATTTTATCGCTCCACGCCACGTTCTATTCCTAATCTGTGCTCCGCTCCGTGTTGGAACTGCGTGGTACTTAAATCTCCTTGTTTCTGGGTAAAGGGTAAGGTTTATGGTATCACTGAGTTCTATAAATACATTATGGATATGTTAGTTTTTGGTCTCGTGTGTGGCCACGCTACCCCATCCTCTATAGCTTTCTTACTCTAAGGTATCAATACTTTCTATTCGATATCGTGTCCCTAACTATATAGCGATGCTAGCGCATAAATACAAAGGATATTTCTTTTATACTGTCTAGTGTTATTTCTTCTATGGTTTTCGCTAATATTTGGTCCATGATTTATTCATTTAATGGTATCAATTCTGACATGATTCTCTAAACCTAAACTTAAATTTGACAACAGTGTATCCTTGTTATTCTCTATACAGCATGAAAAGGAGAGACTGATGTTAAATTTAGATTTAAGTTTAGAGAATCACGCCAGAATTGGCACCACTATCGTTGTTACTTAGGCCACTTGCAGATATCTATTTAACTTAATCTCAATTTATCCTGTACAATAATGTCTAAACGTCAATTTCACATTATTGTACACACATCAAAAAAATAGATTGTTTTTTGTGTTACAGAAGACTTTTTAGTAATTTCTTTTTCTAGGAGGATTATCAGATGTTTTACGAGCCAGAATTGTAATTTTGAGGGAAGAAGGCTATTCTACGAGAGAAATAGCACGCAGAATTGCCATATCCCAATCCTGTGTAGTAACCACGTTGCAGAGGTACCACGGCATGGGTAATTTAGCTGATCGACCCCGCAGCGGTCGCCCAACTGTTTTGTCAGCTGCTCAGAAGCGCTACATCACGTTGCTGGTATCCCGCGACTAGGGCTTTCAATACCGGTATTCCGGGATCCCGTAATACCGTAATCACGTTTTCTTATTAGAATTCTTCAATACCGGTATTGATCAGCCGATACCGTGATTTTACGGTATTACAAATCAACAAATTTTTATAAGAGATATATGAATATAAGATGAAATGTTAGGCATGAACGCGAGCGAGATAGATAACACGCTCGCTCGCATTCATGCCTAATTTTCACTGATTCAAGTTGTAGAGGCTGAGCCTCCCGGCCTCCTCCTCACATGACCCTGAAGCTTTTTTAGTGATAATAATAGCGAATTTGACATTTTCAAAAAACTAACATCTGATGAATTGCATGAAACTATCTGATAACTTACTGACTCGTTTAACTGACTGCGATTATTAATAATATACAGGTTGTTTACGATTCATTGAGTTTGGGATGGATGACCGCAATTATTAATAATATGCAGGTTGTTTAAGATTAGTTGGGTTTGGGATGAATGACTGTGATTATAAATAATAGGCAGTTTTTACGAAAGGTCATGTTCAAGAGATGATATCATTAATAAGCAGCGTCCTCTCTCTCTAATTATTGGTAAAAATAACTTGATTATTATCTTAATTTCACTCCATTACAAAACAGACCAAATAAATACAATACACACAGACACAAATTTCAAACTAGGTACTCTTCTTCCTCTAGTGAATGCTAACAAAAAATGTGTAACTTAGGGGAAGTTACGTATTTTTTGTTCACTACCACCTAACCCATAACATTAAGGTGAATGAGACGGCAACATATGAACTTACGATTTTCTTTTCACGGTGAACAAAGTTGATAGAAAAGTAAAGCACTTAGGCTTAGAATGCACTAAGTTACAATAATGCATGTGTTTTAAAATCAATGTTGAAAATTATATAGGAAAAGAAAGTATCTTAGTAAAAAAAGTATCTTGAAAATACTAAGATACTGAAAAAAAGTATTTAAGTACAAGATACAAATAGGTACGTATTTTGTATCTTGTATCGGTATCTTAGATATGTCACATCTCTGCTCATGGGGGTGTCCCAATGCGAAAATATAAGTATAGAACCACTATTTGATCTATCAATAAGAACACTTTAGAACTTAGAACAACTCAACAAAGACATGCCAAGCCATGTAGTCAGACAGTCAGATCTATCAGACATGCAAGACACCGACTTCAAATGTTAATTTGACTGTAAATATACTTCAGACTTATGTAAAGAATATGTATTTTTCTTTGATTTTTATTTAACATATTTAGTTTTTATTTTTCACTTTTTATAAACCAAATTTATATAAACTGGTGTGTATTTTGGTATGATTTCCTAAACTCAAAATTAAATTTCACATCAGCCTCTCCTTTTCATTCCGTAAAGAGACTAACAAGTTTAAGCTTATTCCTTGTTATTAATAAGGGAGTATAAAGTATAAGTGCCTGTCCTGCATTATACGTGTAATTAAAGATTTTGAGAGTGTATTCAAAACGTAGGAGCTGCAATTTTTGCAAGTGTTAAATTAATTCATGAAAATTTTAATCAAATATATTAGGATAATTGAATAGGTAATCAACTACGCCCATCACTGACGACTGTCACTGTCATCAGTCACGTCACGTCAGTTTACACCATAGAGAAAAGTAATACACTGGTTTACACCATGTTTACACTCAAGTTTCTGTTGTCAGTTGTATTACGAAATGCTCGTCTCATCTTTAGCGGCAACGGCTATAAACACAAGGGTTCTTTGTGCTAATGTATAGTCGTTAAAACTTAATAATCTAATATTTTGTTTAAAATAATCTTTAATCAACAAACGTCATGGCTAAATGGAAGCTAAAACGCCAGACGTTTGGCACAGAGGAATATTCATTTAGTGAAGGAGAAGAGGTGACAATCGGAAGAGGATTTCAGAATTCAATAACCCTGTCTAGTTTAGTAATATCACGGAATCACTGCTCATTAAAAATAAAAAAGGATGAAATTCTTATTACTGACCTACAGGTATTTGTTATAAAAATACAAAATTGTACTATTTGTTCACATGACGTATTATTATTTATTTGCTAATGTTATCAATTTTAGATTCATTTTTTAAATCATTATGTTTACTGTCTATATTTCCAAATAGATATTATGTTTTACATTGCAACTCAACTATCCATGATAGGGGTCTTAGCTTATAATTTGTCAATTGGTTCTCTGTAAGTTCAAACTTTTCAATACTCAATTATGAAATAACCATTTTAATACCTTTATAATACAAAATACATATCGATATTTGTAATTTCAATTGACGTAAAGCACAAACCCCACTTTAAAGGAGAGCCAAAATATGTTTTTTTTTTTAAATTACTTAATATCTATGCCCCAAAAATAAATATATAATAGTGTTTATATGGACCTAGTATGTAGGTGTAAATCTAATAGAAAAAATATGTTATCTTCTCTTTATCTTTTGAATTAAAGAACTAACTTTATTTGTTGATTAGGTGGTTAAGCATAGCCTACAAGTCATTTTAAATAAGATGTGTTGTCAAGGGCTTAAAATGGATAACTAACAAGTAAAAGAATATTCTAAATTGGCATTTTATAGTTTAAAATACTTTAAACATTCTACTAGAATAGGTGTAGCACTAGGTTACTTTGGTCATATCGCCCAGAGAAAGAGTGACAACTTAGACAATATGGTTATTATGGAAAAAGTAAATGGTAAAAGATATATACAAATTAACTCATCTCTCTTTAAATTATTTCTGAATCATTGGTCTGGCATGATTCTCTAAACTTAATATTAAAGTTAATATCAGTCTCTTGTTTTCATTCTGTATAGGCAGTGGCTTAACCTTCTAGTGACGAGATACCATTTATCAAAATGTCCATCATGCCACAGACTTACAAGTTGCAGGTTTTGTAAATCAATCAGTGTACTCTGCCATATGTAATTTTTTTGAATGGTAGATCAATTCACAGACCACTTCATATGCTTCCAGGGACAACGGACCAGTGGTCCGTGAACCATTGATTAAGAACCACTGGTATAGATAATGAGAAGAATACACTGTGGTCAAAATTATATTTAAATATTTCTTTAGTTAATTATTTTATTTATTTATAAATATGATATTATACAAGTACATAATATTTATTTATATTATTATATATTTGTTAATATATAAAAATCTTCTTCAGAAGATCAGAATCTGGGAAATTGATAATTAACTTAAAATCACATTGTTAAATTTATCTAAATAAAATTCTCTTGTCACAATGTGCGTAATGGAACTACTCCGAAAATGGCTTGACCAATTTTTTGTGAAATTTAATATGCATATTCAGTAAGTCTGAAAATCAGACAACATCTATTTTTCAACCTCCTAAATGTTAAGGGTCCACCCTTAAATTTTTGTTTTTTAGGACAAAATTTTGTTTATATTTTTTTATAATACATCAGAAAAAAATACATACAACCCTAAACCTAACTAAACTAACCCTTCTTCCACCAACCCCTATTTTTTTATGGTGGTACAAAGTTCGCTGGGACAGGGGGCATACGAGCAGACGGCTCACCTGATGGTAAGTGATCACCGTCGCCCATGGACACTTGCAACACCAGGAGTATCACAAATGCGATGCCGGCCTTTAAGGAAGAAGTGCGCTCTTTTTTTGAAGGTGTTTGGGTCGTATCGGTCCGGAAACACTGCTGGCGACAACATATTCCATATAGTTTAACTATAAATGAATTATTGTTTTTTGCAGAGTTCTAATGGAATATTTATTGGTACAAAGAAAATTCCACCAAATGTACCATATAAACTAAAAGACTCAGACATTATTGGCATTGGGTGGATATCAGGTATACCTCTTGGCAAAGTTGAAGATACTGAAAAATTTATCTTTAAAGTAATTAGGGAACAAGCTCCATTGTCAATAATAAATAGAATTACATTTCAAAATGAAAATGAATTTGATGAATTAGAAGAAAAAATTGCAATCTTGGATTCCAGCAACATTATTGCATCTCCAGATAATGAAATAAAAACAAATCTTAAAAGGAAAATTCATGTAAATGATAATGAAAACCAACAAATAATAAACAACAAAAGGATTAGTAATGATATTATAAATATTGTGTTGTCCGACAGTGACAGTGACATGAATTCAAAGCAACTAGAATATAATATGAAGAAACCAAAACTGGAACCTATATGTGAAGAACAAAAACATGTTGAAAAAGCTCAAGAAAATAAGTCAAATGAATTGAATATAAAAAAAGAATGCCACCTAAAATTTGAAGAAGAATATCCTGAAATGGAAGCGTTTAATGTTAAGCAAGAATATCTAGGCTATGATGAACCAATACAAATAGATAGTGATAGTGATAGTGAGTCCGAGCAATGGTTCCTGAGACTGTCACAAAGCTCTCCTGGAAAACCATTTATTAAGGCACCTGTTGTGAAAAATGAACCAAAACCTGAAGATAGTTCCTACAGTCAAATTGAGGATGATCTTATTAATCAATATTCAGACAATGAAGACTATCTAGATGATCTTATTACAATACCAGATCCACCACAAGCTGAATTAGAACAACTTACAGCTGGAGATAACTATTTAGATAAACAGGAAGAAATTTCTGGGATTGAAAAGCTATGTCATGATGAGTTATCATTCACAGATGCCAACCAAACCAAACCAAACCAAAGTAATATTGAAGCTGATGAAATTGATGGAACTAGTTCTAAAGATCATACTGAAATGGATAATAAAGCTTTACCAACAATCACAGAAAGTGATTTAAATTTGTCTAAAAAAATTCAAATCATTGAACCACAAGTTCATTTACCTCGCAAAAAATCAAATAATATAAATTATATTAGTAAGTTTGGATCTTGTTATTATATTTTATGTTTATTTTACACCCAAAACGAGATTTTTCTGATTAATGAACAGTTTGTCTAACACATTTAGATTTTTTTTTATATGATGCAGTGTTATATATTTATTTAACCAGAAATTATAGACCTAAAGAATATTTTACTAAAAAAACCCCTTCTTTAAGCCTAGAAAAAAATCCACCAAAATTGTTTTTTTTTCAAGCTTTTTTCCAAGTAAAATGTTCTTTAGATTTAAACATCTAGCAGTTAAATGCTTAAAAAAAATATGTCATTAGAAAGTTTAGGTTTAAACTAATTAAACAGAAAACTTGTTTTAATAAAATTAAAATAGAAATGCAATATTGCAATAGCTATGAATTCTAAACTCAAACATAGAACTGCCATGGTTTTACTTAATTTTTGACTGTATTTTTCTAATTTAAAATCACAAATCAGTTTGTTATTGTTCAGGTTCCAAATCAAAACATATATCACACAATCTTGACAAAAAAAAGAGTCATTCATCAAAAAGACACATAATAAGCAACTCACAAAAAGAGGAACGTAAAAAGAAATTAAAAGAATTAGCAATGAAGGAAAAAGAAGAATTTGATCAACGAAACAGCAAAAATAATGCTAATAATTTAACAAAGACAATTCCAAATATTAGAATGACATCATCAAATAGAGGGGCCTTTTTAACTGATTCAGTTCAAGTTGTAAAACCAATGAGAAGAAAAGAAAGTCCGCAGAAATCTATAAGTAACAATGAGAGAACTGAACAATCTAACACAGCAAATAACCGTGATGAAGCAAATTCTAATGTTGAACTTGAAATTAAGCAATCAGAAAAAACTGAGAAGAAAGAAAGAAAGTCAGAGACAAGAGAAAATATTGAAAATAAAACGAAGCATTCTGAAAAAACAACTAAAAAAGAAAGCAAAAGTAGAAAAAAAGCTGACAGCAGTAAACATAATTCAAAACACTCAAAATCAAATCCAAACTCTTCAACAAATAGTGTTGCTGAAACACGAGTGCCTCTGAAAAGCTTAAAACCCTTACCAGATAGCGAGGAGCCATTTGCAGGAAAACCATTTTCTAAAGTAGAACCATATAAAAAGCAAAAAAAAACAGTTCGTTTTTCAGAAGCAGCACCCGAAGTGCACTACTTTGAAATTCCTGAAGGCAACAGGATGAAAAAGACTAGCTTAGTAAAGACAACATTAGTGGATATTAGACAGATGCCCATCTTTTCCTTAGAGAAAATTACTCTGATGAAAATTCTGCGCTGGAATCCGCATTGGCTTGAAGAACAGATTAACAATAATGAACCTCCTCCTATTTTAGGACATAATAATCCACCTATGGCTATATTTCATTCTTTCAATAATCACCATCAATATGTACAGTAAGTAGTCCTCAAATATAATAATGATTCTATTGGTTCTCAGTTACAAACTAAAATTTTGTTTGTTATTTCAAAGGATGATTGGGGATTTGTTACTTATGGAGATATGGGAATGCCTGTCAATAGCGTATATGAAAATACGCAATCAAAGTATTGGATTACAGATGAGGATAGCTACACTACCACCTATTCCTACTTCAGACCGTCACTTTGATATTTTTAACTTGAGTGTTGATGGTAAGTAAATCATTCATAAGTAATCAATCATTTTTGTGACATTATTTTAAAACAATATTTATTCCGACATTGCTCTGTTTTAGTCTCACTGCCTACGACGGAAGTAAGAAATTTACCTAGGATGGGTGAAGTATTGCTTGTTTCTTTTGGGCCTGAAAATGCTAGACATCAAAGGTTTTTCTTTGTAAATAATGTTAGGTGTCTTCCTTCGCCAGCAAGTAAGTCAATTTTGTCAATCTGGAATATTTGATTCCAATCTAAATTTCTTTCTTGTTCTTGAATAAGAAACCAAATCAAACAAGAAAACCAAAAAAAGGTATGAATATTTAAAAAGAAAGTTGTTAGCTGACCTTTATATATTTTAAGTTGTCCTAAACTTTTTTTTCTGACTTATGTTTAGAATAAAATACTTAAAGAATAATATAGCTTCTATATTTTTAGGTAATAGAAACTCTTTTTATAATATATCTCTACATGCTACTTTTACGGAAAAAATGAAGCTCTTAAGGCCTGGAGAAATAATGATAGGGATCAATTTGGCTTACATCAATAAAGAGCTGTCGCTATTTGATGCTATGGCCTATATGGCAGGATCACCTCTTAGTGAAGCTATTCTAAAGCCAGAACCGCGACATTTCCTTAGAAAGGATATCCCTATGAATATTAGTAATCCGGTAAGTGTCTTTTTATAAATTACTGGCTAGCTTTGTAATTGAATACTTAAGTGTATACCTATATTAAATTAACTTTGTACGCGTGGAGTTAGTTATTTATTATTGGCACTGATTTAAAGAGGCAGTTGTAAATACCAGTTTTGGAAAGTAAAAAATTATAAATAGCACATTTAATAACTAGTTCAGCAGTTAAAACTAAGCAGTAAAGTAAACAAAAATTAGTAATTAAAAATTAATGAAATTCATCGGTGAATATATAATTGAGCAAGAAAATAATAAAATGGGCGGTAAGAATTATTGAACGTGCGGTTACGTGTGGTCAGTAATAAATCGGAATTTGTCGATAAGAAATCTCATTCTAAGCAATTCTATAAACAATGAGGTGGTAAAATAAAATAAAACAAATTGTATAATAGTATTAGCAACTTTTATTCGTAATTCGAAACATACTTAGTAATTAAAATGACATAGAATTTGCTTAGTAGCAGCTACCAGCAGAGCAGGCCACCCGCGCTAATAAGCTCAGCCCAACAAACGAACATTTACCTCTCATTTCAATGAATTTGAGTTCGGGTGTCATCGCTCGCTATGATCTGCCGAACTATCTATCGAATTTTTTATCTATCGAAAATTGGACTGCTCAATTATTTTTAGAATTGACATTGTATGATAAAATAACCGACTAATAGATTTTTAATTACTGTCCATGTTTTACTGTCGCAATAATTAATCAACCGCCATTAAATTAATTAACTGCTCAATATGTTTTTCAACTGATCATAATAACATCTCGAATATTTATATAACAGCTCAAAAAATTAGTTATTTTTATTATTTATATCCAAAAAGTGCTTACACATGGAATTTGACTTGATGTTCTTGAAATCTCATAGATTTATTTATATCCAAAAAGTGCTTACACCTCTAATTTGACTGTTACTTATATCCAAAAAGTGCTTAGACATGGAATTCGACTTGATGTTCTTGAAATCTCATAGATTTATTTATATCCAAAAAGTGCTTACACATGGAACTCGACTTCCATGTTTTTGAAATCCCATAGATGGCGCTGCTTTAAAATTGTCGATTATGTTTCTTGGCCTAAGTTACTTAAAGTGTGAAGCTAGCTTATAGCATAGTTAACATAATAACAACATTCAAATATGCGTCGTTAGATTACACGTTCTTACAGAATGCGTTGAAGAAATAAAGGTTCACTGCTCATTCCCCGTAGGTGATAGCGTGATAATATGTAGCCTATATATTGACCCGACTTCTTAATAATATTCGTGCCAAATTTGAAGTAAATCCATGCAGTACTTTTTGAGTTTTTCCCGGACATACATACAGACAAACAAATACAGACAAAAATTCTAAAAACTATATTTTTGGCTTCGGTATCGATTGTACATACCCAACCACACCCCAAGTATTCTTTAAAAAAAATGTACAGTTTTGACTTTCCTACCATTTTATTAAATGTATAGCTATAATAAAGAAAGCAAACGTGAGTGTGGTGGAACACTCGGTAGGAACGAAGTTAAAAATAAACATAAGTATAAGAGCATAGGGCTATAAGGGGCACGGATCGGCCATCCGTTCGTCGTGCAGTTTTTATGTCATTTCATAGAACAGCGCGGCGCGGGAGGCCTGCCTCACGCAGCGCTGCTCTATGAAATAACATGAAACTGAACGCGGAGCGGATGTCCGCTCCGTGCTCAGGTTCTTGTGGGATTCTCAAATAACAAATTTTAACGCGGACGAAGTCACGGACGACCGCTAGTTTATCATATACTAACGGCAGCTAGTTAGAAAGAAAGATTCACTGCTCGTTCCCCGTAGGTGATAGCGTGGTAATATGTAGCCTATAATATGTTGACCCAACTTCTTAATAATAATCGTGCCAAATTTGAAGAAAATCCATGCAGTACTTTTTGAGTTTATCCCGGACATACATACAGACAAAAATTCGAAAAACTATATTTTTGGCTTCGGTATCGATAGTAGATCACACCCCAAGTATTCTTTAAAAAAATATTCAATGTACAGTTTTGACTTTCCTACGATTTTATTATATGTATAGATCATATATTTATAAAGCTGATACTGATAGATTTTCGTATTTAAAGGTTTGTTTACTTTAAATAAACAGCTAGTGCAGGTATTAGGCTGAAATTTAACCAATTATGCACTAGGCTAATAAAGATTCCAGTAACATAATTGTTTTGATTCCTTCCTATTTTCCAGTAAAAATAGCTACTTAGATATACTGTTTAATACGTCATAAACTTGTTGTCTCAATCAAGTCTGTGTACTACTTTCATTCTGTTTTTAGTGGACAAATACTCTGAATCCTAGTCAACATACTGCAGTGAAAGCATCCGTATTGGCAGCCCTTGGAGACCAACCCAGCATACAAATGGTGCAAGGACCTCCAGGAACAGGTAACCAAAAATTACTTGAATTTGTGTGAATTATTTATCTCAGGTGTTATACCTTGTTCTTCACTAAACTATGAAGTAAATGTGTTCATCTAATTCTAATGTTAAAGACCTATAACAGTTGTACCAATGGGAATCATTTTGAAGTCAACAAATTAACTTGAAACATACTCATATAGTATTCAAATAAACTTTCTCAAATCATTTGAGTTAATAGACTTAAAACTTGGTACTATTAGGTACATATCTAGAAGTAATAAAGTTTGCCATTTTTGGTTTTCCTGAAATCCCCCTAAAGGGAGGATTGGAGACTGCCGAAGTTTTTATATGGGTGAATTTTATTGCGCATATCGATTAACTTAAAACTCAATATTTATACTTGAGACCTGAAATAAAGAATAACACGTATCAGGGTTCTTTGGAACTCTACGCCTCACCTAAAAGGGGTAGCAAATTTTACTGGGAAGTATTTTACTGTGGGGTTGATAAAAACGGGAAACGGCTGAACGAATTTGGATAAAAATTTTCACACATCTAGATTATTACCTGGATCATTTATATCTCGAAAAAAATGTTAGTGGGCAGCTGCTAGTAAATAATAATAAAACAACTAAACAGCAACCCATTAAACTAATAAATCCCATAACATTTGCGGGATTTGTCATAGAACAAAAAAATAACCACAGTATTTTATCGAATCTTTAGCTCTATAAATCTGCATTCTCAACTAAAATCGTTACCGAACCTCTTTATAATTTTTTAATTACAGGAAAGTCAAGTGTGATTTGTGCAATAGTCATGACATACTTTTATGACGCCGCCGGTAAAAGACAACAGAATCGGGGCAAGATTTTGATTTGCGCAACAAGTAACGCAGCCGTCGACGAATTGGTTTTAAGATTACTTAGTATACGGCAACAGCTACCGAAGCGTAAGTGTTTTTAAGAAGTTGTATTCTACGTAGTCGTATACATTTGATATTGTGAGTAAAAGTTGGTTTTACTTTTTTAGAAAATTTATTAATTATTTGTTCTCAGAATAGTGAAATCGCTGCTAATTTGCTATGCTTACAATTGGTACTTTATTTTCCATACTGTCAAATGGTCAATTTAGATATTTTTTGACTGTTCAAGGTCGATAAATCACAGTAATGCTATGAAGGCGAAAGTTTGTGAGTGTGTATGTTTGTTACTTCTTCACGTCTAAGCGGCTGGAGCGATTTTAGTAAAATTTGGTATGGAGTTAGCTGACACCCTAGATTAACGAGATATTAGCGAGAATATATCCCTAATAAACCGCGGATTACACCGCGTAGCACAGCTAGTAACTTTATAAATAAGTCAAGATACGAGGGATGGTAAGACAATTAATATGTACAATTTATGTTTGAATCAATTAGAGGAAAGGTTTCGTATGGTCCGCGTGGGACGCGTGGAGGCGATGCACCCTCGAGCGCGCGAAGTTAGCTCTCAAACGCTTGCCCAACGGGGAGTGCGCTCCCAGCAAGAACTGCCCACACATCCAGGCCTCAGCGAAGAGGTAATTCATCCTCATCATCAGCCTATTAATGTCCCCACTGCTGGGGCACAGGACTGCCCTATGGATGGAATAGGAAGATTGGGCCAAGACCCACCACGCGGGCCCAGTGCGTATTGGCGGGTGCTAACGGCTGCAGATGCAGCCGGGACCAACGGCTTAACGTGCCTTCCGAAGCACGGAGGAACTCGAGATAGAAGATTTTTGGTCACCCATCCAATAACCGAAAGTTGCTTAACTTCAACGATCGCAGCCGAACGCGCTTACCACCTGCATTATCGAGCTCCTCACAATACACTTCTATACTAATACTAGCTGTAAGAGGTAATTAGTCTATAATAAATACATTCATTTAGAATCATTTCTAACGACCGTTGTTTCAAATGACACCGGGACTTTGTCTAGCAAAACGTCGATAACAAGGAAAAATTAGAGAATGGGCCGTGTGTTGCCGTTGCAGCTAAGTAAAATTAATTCGTGCAGAAAATTGTAAGGGAGACGAAGCGAGCGATCTACGGCCAGTAGTACGCATAGTTATTGTGCGCACCATTGCTTCCTTTTTAGATCAAGACGTAGTCTATTCTCTATGACTTATGAAATAAGATACTGTTACATGTCAGGATGGGGTTCGAAATTGTAATGCCAGTTCACGCTTTACAGTTCTTTATTCACACAGTTCTTTCTTAAAGACAATACTGTACTCACTGTACACCTATATCAATAAATCGCACATAAACACTTTACTTGCACTTTGATCTCCTTTGAATTCGTTCTGAAAACGCTGTTGAAACTCGACTGTCTACTGAGCGGCGCCACCACAGGGCCCTTATAAACGCCAATCGACGCATTCCAGAAAAGTCTAGTTCAATTGAAAATTCTCTAGCACTGGCGAGCATTTAAACGTAGTTGGCATTCATTGTAAACAAGTAGGCAGCTGTCATTGCACTTTTACCCTTACGCTGCACTTGTAAGGCTCACATTCGAATGGACCGGACTACCCGGCCTTATTTAGGTCATTCACGTCGCTAGGCGCGGCTTTCTGGGTAAATCTGTTTCCAGCATGTTCGTGGTTTTGGTTCCAGAGCGCTCGCGACAGTACAATTTTATGATCTACACTTTTAGTCTGTTCAGAATTTCAGATTGAAAAAAATACAAAATTTTGTGTCACAACGAAGCTATGCGGTGCTTAGTTTTATACTGTATTGTAATTTGCCTTCATGTCTTGACTTGGAGTGACCATTTTTTTATTATTTCATAACAGATATCTCGACTAGAAGCCAAAGTGAATATGTGGAAGACATCGGCACAGGATGCGTATGAAAGAAAAGACGATATGCGGGTTGCGTATTGTGAGAGTCGAATCAGTGAATTAAACAAGCGACTTGCCATGGTAAGAAAAATAATAACTTTGATTAAACTTTTGCATCAGTGTATGTTTTGTTTCTGCCAGTGCTATCTCACACTCGTACCTCATGATATTCCTATTCTTTCTACATTAAAAACTCCATTTTTATTTTTAGATAACCAAATACGAGAAGTTTAATTTTGGTAAAGATATAAAAAATGTTATTTTATTAGTGCAGTCATTGAAGCGATACGGTCTTACCTCCGAATTTTTTTAATGTGAACCGATTTGCTTGAAATTTTGGAATTAGGCTCATCTTACCCTTAACTTCAAAAGTGAAAATGATCTGAACTCCGCCTATTATTTTTAAGGGGTGTAAACAACCCCTTAATGGAAAAATTGACATTGAGCCATTTTATCGCTAGAAAACATGTCTGTAAGTGATGAAATTGTAAAGTATTTTCTAACATAATTACCTCATATTAAAATAATTTTCAACCCATATATATATATACTAGCTGACCCAGCAAACTTCGTACCGCCCTAAAAAAATAGGGGTTGTCCAGCGGACAAAATTGTGAATCTAAACCATTCTCAGATCCCCTTGAACACACACAAAAAATTTCATCAAAATCGGTCCAGTCGTTTAAGAGAAGTTCATTGACATACATACTCACAGAAGAATTATATATATAAAGATATAATATATATATTACATATTTAAAAATAATTTAATTTAGAGTAAAAAATTGCCATTTCTTGATTAAAATATTCACTAATTATATCAATCAGAAAACAATATATCTTTATTCAAATTGGATGTATAGTACAACACTTTTGAATCGTCCAAACATTTTTTTCCCTACCACTCGTTATTGGACATATTTTTTAGCTGCGGAGAAAAACGAGCGAAAAAAACTCCACAACATTAAAAGCATAATGTAACAACATTTACAAATCATTATGTTGTTACAACGGCAATACAATCATGATTTATTTAATATAGAACACCTGTTGGAATGATTGGAACAGTTCAAACCCAAGCATTTTTGTCTGTAATATAATCAGACACTTTCTAAAAAGCTTTTTTAATAAGTGTTTTTTTATACTATCTTTGAATTTATTTATGCTTAACTCTTGGATATTGCTTGGGACTTTATTGTATAAGCGAACACAAAGACCTTTAAATGAATTATTGATTTTGTGAAGCCTAGTAGCAGGTAAATTTAGTTTATTTTTGTTTCTTGTATTAAGTGTGTGAACATCACTGTTTTTAAGAAACAAATTAATATTTTTTCTTACAAGTAATAAATTTTCGTAAATGTATTGTGATGCGACCGTCATTATAAGATAATAATACTTTATTGCACAACAGTAACATAAATAAAACGAATAAAATACAAATACAAGGCAAAACAATCACAGTTGCACAAAGGGCGGTCTTATCGCTAATCAGCGATTTCTTCCAGACAACCCAATGAGCTGGAAAAAGTAGAAAGCACGATAATAATAATGAGGGAGGTTGTGCGGAAAACAAGACAAAAGTTTTGTAAGTAATCAATTGAAATTAATTAAAATAAACGCTAACCAAACATATAGGCATATATATAAACATTCACACATATCGCAGTATAATGCAACAGTACTACTACCGTAGCAATATTTTAATGAAAATTATGCTCATCTGACAAGAAATGCTCCTTAACTAGGGATTTGAAACAGGCTAGAGTTTGGGCACGCCTAATCTTTTCCGGCAGAGAATTCCATAGTTGGATGGCACGTATGGTAAAGGAGTGGCTATACGCCTTGGAAAAGTTAGGAGGTGTGAAAAGCAGGAGATTGTCAGATGAACGAAGCGGAAGATTATGAGAAGAAGAAAGAAACTGAAAACGTTCTTTGAGATAGACAGGAGCTTTTGGATTGAACAGTACTGAGAAGAGTAGGGACAGTATATGCAGATCACGGCGACGACGAATGGGAAGCCACTTCAATTTCTGCCTGTAGTATGAAACATGGTCGTACTTACGTAAACCGTAAATAAATCTGATGGAAAAAATTTGCAGACGTTCAAGTTTACTTAGAAGATCAAAGGTAAGATAGGGATAGCAAACATCTGTATAATCAAGAATAGGTAGAAGAAGAGAAGTTGCAAGAGAAATTTTGGTGGCAGTAGGCAAGAAGTTACGTAAACGTCGCAAAGAGCCCGCCGCAGCAAAAGTTCGCCTACTGACCTCAGCAACCTGAGGACACCAAGATAAAGTGTTATCGAATATGACCCCCAAATTCCGAACTGTTTCAGCAAATGGGATAACAATTCCATTTAAAGTAACTGATGGGAGCTGCTTAAAGTCAATCCGAGATATAAAGTAAGGACTACCAATAATTATGCACTGAGTTTTTATTGGATTGATTTTAAGTCCAAATGCATTGATCCATTCCGTAATAAATGCTAAGTCTGCATTAAGGTTATTTATTGCATTATTTAGGTTTTCCAGTCGATCCTGTGTGTAAATCTGGAGATCGTCTGCATACAGATGGCAGGTAGAAGTTAAATTGTGAGTAGTAGAATTAATAAAAATAGCGAAGAGCAAAGGAGATAGCACGCCACCTTGTGGAACACCGGCCGTTAGAGTACACCATTGAGAGATGGATTCACCTACAATTACACGCTGCCGGCGTCCATGTAGATAACTACGAAACCAGTCAATGACCGTAGGAGATATGTTAAATATCATTATACCAAATCCTTAACTTTAAGATTATAAATTGATCGAATAGCTCTCTTCTGCAGCACAAAAATAGTTTGAATGTCGGCGGCGTTTCCCCACAATAAAATTCCGTACGACATTACACTATGGAAATAACTAAAGTATACTAATGTGGCCGTATCTACATCCGTTAACTGGCGTATCTTCATTACGGCATATGCTGCAGAACTAAGTCTATTTGACAATTTATCAATATGTGGGCCCCATTGAAGCTTAGAATCTAAAGTAATCCCTAAGAATACTGTGGTGTCTACAAGGCCCATATTCCTATCCTTTACATTCACACTGGTTTTTACCTGTTTTACATTAGGTAATACAAATTTCATACATTTCGTTTTTCCTTCATTTAATAATAAATTATTAACATTAAAATTGTACTATTATTATTAAAATATAATATTATTATTCATGACTCAATGTCGGAGTCGCTGTCATAATCAACATCTTCTGGCTGAATTGGAGGGCTATTTTGGCAGTTATCTCCACTGCACGTTCCACAGTTACTATTACAAAACAGACCAACTTTTCTGCATCCGCAAGACGCTCCACATCCTTTTTTGCAGTTGCAAAAAATCATTTTCAGCAGTTCTTGTGGTGCGGGTGGATCTACAGACTTAAGTGGATTTAATAAACCGTCATTCATGACCCACCCCCAATCCGTTGGATGAATGATGATGATGATGAAATGATGAAATGTGTTATATATACATATAAGAACGTTGGTATGTATTCATGCCTACGTTTCCAAAATATATGAGCCATATTATGTATATATATATATACACATTACAATAGTTGTGGGTCTCTATTATACTGCGTACTTTTACATTGCTCCAAATATTCACATTCCGAAATTTTCAGTTACTAAGTAGAAAAAAATATGATAAGTTTTTGGACCATAACTCCTTCAATTTTCATGCTATCACAATTTATGTAAAACCATTGTAAAGGTAATTAAGAGAGCTACAACATCCTTCATTGCAATATATATTAAAAAACCTTTTTCTAAAACGGTGAAGGGTTAAAGGGCTTAAGAGAGGCTGTGATTGCGCTGCCACGCGCTATTTAAACAATCATATCTCCGTCAATTTTATTTTGACAGAAAAAACAAAAAGCCAAGTTGTTTGTCAGAAAAATACCTAAATTTTTAAATCGTACACTTTTATACGTATCTGTCGTCATTTTGAGATATTATGAAAAAAAAATGGGGTTTTTTAAACTTTGATATTTTGTTTTTTCTTTTATCGTGACTTTTTTGAAAAATATGTGTCCTGAAGCAGCCAAACTGGTACTATCTATCAAACTCTTCACAATAAAGTTAATTCTAGGCGGAATACGATTAATTTTAATATTGGTGGAAATGGCACTTATGAAACCCATTGATTTAAAAGAAAAAACATTAGATGCTCCCCTTATTTGCAATACAGTTCACTTATTTTACGTGCAAAAGACTTTTAATAGTGCAAAACTTTAAAAGATGATTTTCTGCTTAAAATTAGGCTTTCTATCGATATCCGAGGTTATTTCGAAAAAAAAATAATTCACCCCTGAGAAGGGGTGGCAACCACCCCCAGGGTGGTTGCGGAGTTCAAATCATTTTCACTTTTGAAGTTAAGGGTAAGATGAACCTAATTCCAAAATTGTATGCAATTCGGTTCACAGTAAAAAAATTCGGAGCAATAATGCTTCAATGACTGCACTATATCAGCAACAAATCTTTTCATGTTGTTTAATAAATGATTGCAACAACTCTTTGAAACGTGCTCCATGTCCATTTTAATGTATTTTCTTAAATGACTGGTGCGCGTAGAAATATTTTATGAATACTAATAAAGTTAAAGTAAGTAATTTTTACTTTCGCGGTTTGTTGTACGGTGCGAGAGTCCGACTCGCAGTTGGCCAGTTTTTAGTTATTGCTATTATAGCATACTTTGATGCCTTAACAAAGCGCTTCTTGGTGTGCGTTATTTCTGTTACACGTGTATACATAGCACCGACTATTTGTTTCTGTAATCAAATAAAGAACTATTGTTTTCTCTTAGCTACGAACAGGTAACAGTGTGGACGAACTGCGGCCGGAACAGTTGGTGAGCTCAGAGCGACGCATCATAGAAGGTGCAGATATAGTCGTCACTACTTTGGCAAGCGCGCAAAACAACAAGATGAGAGGGTTTGTATCCGACATTAACCGACCGCAGTTATGTAGTAACGAGCAGTAAGGACGAGCTTCAGTCATAATATAGTCGTCACTACTCCTGGCCTGCGCGCACATCCACAAGATGAGAGGTTTTGTATCCAACATTAACCGACCGTAGTTAATGTAGTAACGAGCAGTAAGGACGAGTTTCAGTCATAACATAGTCGTCACTACTCTGGCCTGCGCGCACATCCACAAGATGAGAGGTTTTGTATCCGACATTAACCGACCGTAGTTAATGTAGTAACGAGCAGTAAGGACGAGTTTCAGTCATAACATAGTCGTCACTACTCTGGCCTGCGCGCACAACCAGAAGATGAGAGGTTTTGTATCCGACATTAACCGACCGTAGTTAATGTAGTAACGAGCAGTAAGGACGAGCTTCAGTCATAACATAGTCGTCATTACTCTTGCCAGCGCGCCCAACCACAAGATGAGAGGTTTTGTATCCGACATTAACCGACCGCAGTTATGTAGTAACGAGCAGTAAGGACGAGCTTCAATCATAACATTGTCGTCATTACTATGTCTGGTGTGCACAACCACAAGATGGGAGGTTTTGTATCCGACATTAACCGACTGCAGTTATGTAGTAAGGAGCAGTAAGGACGAGCTTCAGTCATAACATTGTCGTCATTACTCTGTCTGGCGTGCACAACCACAAGATGAGAGGTTTTGTATCCGACATTAACCGACCGTAGTTAATTTAGTAACGAGCACTAAGGAAGAGCTTCAGTCATAACATAGTCGTCACTACTCTGACCAGCGCGCACAACCACAAGATGACAGGTTTTGTTTGATTTGCTTTGAATATTGATTAATAGTATTAATTAAAATTAAAGAAAATTTTACTTGAATAAAATCTACTTGGCCTATCAGTTTAAGACTACAGTTATAGTGATTTACGGCCAGTTTCAATAAACAAACTCCAGTCAAAGGTGAGCCTACTCGAGCTTTGTTGCTAAGATGTTTTTATTATACAGACTGTAATAACAATCGTTGCTAAGAAACGCAACCAGATTATGTTTACCATTTACTGGAGGTTGATAATTTAAACTGGCCGTTGTCAAAGTAAAATAATACTCTTTTTTGATCACTAAATCAGTTATGTAATAACTCTACACTACCTTTTGGTGGTGTTGTTTTTATTGGCGAGTAAGATACCAAGTCTCCACGGGATAGGGGATTGGGTCAGGGTAAGCAATGGCGCGAATGATACTTTTGATATTGCAATCTTCTACAGGATATGGTGGCCGCTTATCATAATGCCGCGATTAAATTTGGTCGTTAGCCCGTATTCGGGTGCACGAAAGACATTACTCGAATTCGAGCACCCGAAGCAATATTTGCACTGGAAGACGGTGTCGGGTAAACAAAAGGAAATCTTACCGAATACAGGCGTACTCGACTCCGTTCATTTACACTTAGTCGTTTACCCGAATTCTATTGCCACTCGTATGCGGGCTAACAACCAGGTGTAATCGCGCCATTAGGCGGATTATATACTACGACGACTTCTGTGGCTTGAGTAGTACGCCAGTTTTCAAGGTATAGCCTACTCAGAGGTTCCGTGTTCGGATCCTGTGGAGCAAATGTTTGATGAATACGATCATTTGTACATGAGTCATAGATTTCTAAATAAAAATATGCTTTTATATGTATCTGTATATGTATTCTATCAGTTACCCTAGTATCCCATAAAACAAGCCTTACAATGCTTAAATACTTTGGGGCTAGGCTAAATGTATGTGTGCGTTAGAAATATTTATTTATGCTTGTTTGCCACTTTTTACATAAATAAAGACTGTATTTATAATTTCATTTTCTAGTTAATTGTTTTTGTGAAAATAAGAATTTTCAATTTGTTACGACAGGCTGAAGCGTCGGATAGCTCTATGCATAGTGGACGAGGCGGGACAGGCTATCGAGCCAGAGACGTTGATTCCTCTCACGTTGGACGTCAACAGTCTCACGCTGATCGGAGACCCGCAGCAGCTGCCCGGCTATATCTGCTCACAGGTAGGTTCCATTTTATTGTGCGAGTTGACGCAGAATTTATATCATACTGCCTGCACTTAGGGACGTTATTGGCAAGGATGGGTGAAGCGTCGAATAGCTCTGTGCACAGTGGACGAGGCTGGACAGGCTATCAAGCTATCGAACCAGAGAAGTTGATTCCTCTCACGTTAGACGTCACCAGTCTCACATTGATCAAAGACCAGCAGCAACATTTCTGAATACTTAATGTCTCATGGTTTGCTATATACCGAGAACTGGAAAAGTATAGACGACTTAAGTGACTCAGTATCCGGACAAACCCAATGTGGGTTTTTGTGATACTTTTTATTAATTACTGTATTTTGTTTATATTATCAAATAAATGAAAAAAACTGCCAGGGTGTATCTGCTCACAGATAGGCTCTAAATAAATAGAACTCATGTGACTAGGCGGAGCAACTAAAGACATTAAATTAAATACCCTATGTTGTATAACATTACGTACACCGAGCTCCGTGGGATAATCGCGTATTCATAAACAATATAAGGCATTATTTAAACATTCAATATCACCACTTATTTTTTGTAGATGTTTGCAAAAATGTTTATAAAAAAACCTTTGCATAATCCGATAAGATTAGAAGACTGAACAATTAATATGAAATCCTAGAAATATATTTAACATACATAATCTTTTGTATATAAAGTCTTAATTTATTCGCATGCATAATTCGAAATGCAAACTCGTAAAATTTCACGACGAGAAGAATATTTGTTTTCTTTTTTTTCATTCATCATCAACCCACTCGTCCACTGCTGGACATAGGTCTGCCCTAATGCACGCCACGTGCGCTTTTAAACATTTTCGGGGGACAAATGTTCGCACATCGTGTGCGTTGAGCCCGTAACAAGTCCTCAGCGGAAATTTTCTTCACAATAGGCTAGTTGACTCATGTCGAATTGTATTAAATAAATGTTTATTTCATAAAGTATTTGGTCTAAGGAACCTAAATATATCAATTTCACTTCATAAAAGCAGAACATTGCTGTAGAAATTTAATTTAAAAAAATAATTTTTAGTCTTAACAGCGTTTTTAGTGTTTTAAAAGTATTTTTAAACACTAAAAACGCTGTTCGCCACATCCGCCATGATTGTGACGTCTCTTTTAGTAAACAATTAAATGTCATTCATACATAAATTTAAAACTTGTATTATTAAAACTGATAATAAATGAAGAGACTTATAATATTATTCAATGAGTACTTACATCAAAGTGATCTTCGCAAAAATAAACTTCACTATGATTCGATAAAGTTGCAGGATCACTTTTAGCAAGTTCTAACCAGGTATTGCGAAGGTTAATTTCTTTCGGCACTCCACAACTTTCCTGGAGTCTTCAAGGATGTGGTTTTTATTTCTCGTACAATACAATAATGATAATTACTATATTTTTCGTGGTATCTATTAGAAATCATGTTTTTTTTTTATTATAAACTCAGATAGGTTATTTTCTACGTGCTTACGAGTTTTTGTTTACTATTGTCGACGTCATAGCATAGATAATCTATAGACTAAAATGGCCGACTGCGTTTTTGTATGTCCATGAAAAGTCTATTTTAAAATTAAAGATTTGTAGCTTTCTAGGTCTCAAAAAAATACAATACATTTTTTTCGGTCTAATAGAACATATAATAACCATTTAAAACCTTTTTCCAAAAAGGGTCAACTAGCCTATTCTGGTACTTTTGTCCTCCGCGGACTACAACACTGTACGAGTTGACGCAGAATTTATATCTTACCACCTACACTTAGGGACGTTATCAGTAAGGAAGACAAATTAAAAGTTAATTAACTTTAAATGTCATGAAAATTGGTGCATTTGCTTTATGACATTTCTGAATGCAGCCTTTAATAATATAAATACTATAGTAAAAAAAATTGTCCCAAAATCCGACTGCAGCGACACCTATCGGGCAGAGTTGTAAGTTTATTTTTTAAAAGATTTTTAAGGGTTCCGTAGGCAAATGGCAAAAAACCGAACCCTTATAGATTCGTCATGTCCGTCCGTATGTCACAGCCACTTTTTTCCGAAACAATAAGAGCTACACTGTTGAAACTTGGTAAGTAGATGTATTCTGTGAACAGCATTAAGATTTTCACACAAAAATAGAAAATACAAGAAATTTTGAGAGTCCGCATATTTAGAACAGAAACGCAAAAAAAAATTTCATCATACCCATACGTGTGGGGTATCTATGGATAGGTTTTCAAAAATGATATTGAGGTTTCTAATATCTTTTTTTTTGCTAAACTGAATAGTTTGCTCGAGAGACACTTTCAAAATGGTAAAACGTGTGCCCCCCCCCCCCCCCCCCCTGTAACTTCAAAAATAAGAGACTGATAAAACTAAAAAAAATATCTGATTACGGTTTAAACGAGATCTAGTAAGTAGTTTTTTTTAATACATCATAAAGCACTATTATTAAAACATCGATTAAAGTTACAACGAACTACAAGAAGTTTTGTATTAAGTTACTTGCTGCTACGGAACCCTTCATGGGCGAGTCCGACTCGCACTTGGCCGCTTTTTTGTTTACTTTAGAAACTCCTGCAGAGTATTAGAAATCATTTTTTTATATCTCGGTAAAGTCGTTTTTAAGTTAGGGCTTGACCAAGGGAAATAGGAATTAATTTTAGATAATTATGTACACTGGACTGAAAATAAACCAGGCCATCTTCCACTACTCTATGTAAATTTCTTTAATTTAACAATCACTATAAACACTCTGTAAGTATAGCTTTGATAGTAATAAGAATTATGTTTTTTGCAACGACTTAGAAATGTTATTGCATGGAAGAATCAGCCAAAAATTACTGAAATACGCTGAAACCAATCATTAACTAAATTTCAATACTAACGCTACACGTACACAGTCAAAACAAAATACTTTTGACAAATCAAAATTCTGCAAATTGATTCGGCTATCCATTAATTGGGTAAGATAATGTTAATGGAAATCCCAACCAATTCCATGATTGGCATCTTGATCGCTTTTTTCATCCCACCCACTTAATCGTAGTTTGCGTGGAACTTTTTAGCGCAGTTCGTATTTATTCCATTTTATTTCTAATTCGTTGGCTTTTCGACAAAATCGAATCAGAATTCTAAGGTATTAGCGGGTGGCCCGGATTATTTGCTGTCCAGTGTATATACGATACATATTTTGCAATAATTTATTGTTCTTTGTCTAGCGCGCGAAGAAATACGGCTTGGGGGAGAGTTTATTCTCGCGTCTATCGTCATGCGCGGAAACATGGCCTCAGGAAGGCGTCACATTACTAGACCAGCAATACCGAATGCAGCCCGCAATCGCCGACTACCCGAACCGGGCCTTCTACGGCGGGCGGGTCCGGAGCCGGGCCCCACCCCGCCCGGAACTGTGCGCTCCGCCCTACGTGCTCGTCGGCATCTCGAGCGGCGATAAGGGGCAGAGTGAGTACTGCACCGATCTCTAGTGTCGTCATCACACCGTCAGCACCGAATGCTTCCAGCCGATTTCGCCGGCCTAAGCAAGTCTTAGAATACACAAACACTACCACAACTACACAGCTAGCAAACATGCACACTAGCTTAGCAGTAGGCAGTCAGCGCACCCTTAGGATAAGAGCGAAGACCCGGTCTACACACGACGGGCTATACCTGTACCTGGGCGTTCTCCCACGACAACGGCTAACTAGAGCCGAGGTTCGTGTCTCAGAGACGCCCTTGAGTTGAGCCGACCCTCCTAAGTTCGAGTCGTCCAGAGGCTACAGACGGAGAGGAGACTCCCCCCAAAGGGAGATACCATGCGCTTGGAATACCTCTAGAGGCACTCACAAATTCTCGGTTTGAGGCCCATTAAGATTTCGCCATCCGCCAAACCCGATGACGCTGTGAAGGTCTGCAACCAAAAACACACTCAACACATAAAACCGAATGCAGCCCGCCATCGCCGACTACCTGAAACACGCCGCCATACGCGCTTGTTGGCATCTCCAGCAGCGACAAGGCTCTAAGTGAATACTGCACCGTAACCCAACCATGAACAGCTAGTGAGAAAATATTCGTATCGCCATCGTCAAGTTTCTATGGAAACTAAGCGGCGCCCCTACAGTACGTTAGAACATAAAAGCTCTTTCCAAAAAAAAATTATGATGACGATACGAATACTTTCTCGCTAGTTGTTCGTGCTCCGGGTACTGTTCCCTAGGCACGAACTAATATCGATTTCGTTGCGTTTGCTAGTATTCGTCATCGAGGAATTTTAAACTTGTACGGAAACTTGAACAGTGCCACAACGGATGAAACGAAAATTTAAAATCAGTAGCACTAACTTCTTAACATTTGACGCGAATCGAGATCGAATTCAACTATTCGATAATGGTTCGTGCTAGTACTTCATTGACCTCTAGTGACGACATCACACCGTCAGCACCGAATCTGGCCGTAATGGCGGCATCGCCGACTACCCGAACCGGGTCTTCAGACAAGGGGCAGGAGTGAATACTGCACTGACCTGTAGAGACGTCATCACACCACCAGCACTGAATACTTCCCCCGATTTAAATCGTCGGTCCAAGCTCATTCAAATATCGTTCATTCTTTTAATGTCCCATCCCTAACTTTTGTGTTTGGGTATGCTCGAAAAATTGCATAGTTACATAAAAATTGTTAGCGTGCGTGCGTTATTTTGTTTTTGTGATGCGATTTTTGAAGTTAACACGCTTATAGTATAGCATATTTTCGTTAGTTTGCTATACGTGTGTACCTCGTCCGCCAGAATTGATAGAAATATTTTTATTAAATGAAGTGCTTAAGGCTACTCCCGTTTAATAGATACTCAAAGTGTAGCCCCCACTAACGAGTTGTTAAAAAAATTAAATAAATGAAACAATACGCTGTCTCAAGACCCACGGGGTGATTTGTGTTCATGTTTACAATCGGAATCGGAAAGCAAAAATTTTGTTGATGCAAACAAATATGTTTAGTGAAACAAAGTTCTATGGTTTTGTTGAATTTTGATATGTTTAATGTTGTTATTGTTGATTGTTTAGGGCAAAACACGCACTGGAAACCCGGCTTTAGAATACCCCAATGACGAAATCTCCCCTTATTCTAAATCTCACCTTTTCCTTATCCTAGAATCCTGTAACACAACACTGTAATCCCTTACAGTGCTTACATTGTGGCTAGGTTAATAGAGTATTTGACAGTATTAAAAATAAAATGCCAATTGTTGCCATCTGTATTAAGAATAAATATTATCTATTTATTTATTTCTAATTACCAAGGCATAATACCATATACAGCAATTATTAAAAAAAAAGAATTACGAACATGAGGAGGGGTTTTTAAATTTTTTTACCACGCAAAAGATAATAGTTTTTCTATCTATTGCCACGTGACCGAAATCACTTGGGATTGGCGGAGCTTAAATTGGCGTCAATTTAAATTTAGGAGCCAATAACTTCCGCTCAAAGTGACATTATTTGTAACAGCCTTGTGACGTAACACACAGGTAAACACGTCCTAATACCAAGAGAAACATGCCAGCGCCATACAACTTTTGATTTAGTTATTTACTGAAATTCCCAACAGATGTCACTTTTTATGGAGTCCATACAGGTTAATAAATAACTTAAGATCGTTTTCAAATAGTTGTCAAATACCCTATTGGTGTGAGTGCAAGGAACTTATTTACTAACTGGAATGCTTACGCGACCCTCAAAATCGTTCCGAAGAGCAAAGCTGGATTGGTGGAGTGTGTCTCGTTCTAGTAGTGTGCCCAAACAGTTACTTCATTGATGAGACAATTAATTTTCTTTGAGTGAAGGAACCTTCTAATTTTGATTAGCTTAAGATTTTATTTTGACTTAAGCTTTAGATTAAGATTTGCTTGAAAGTCCAAAAACATATCAAAATTTTTAAAATACCTTCTGAGCTTATTAAATATGTCGCTATATGTATTGCATCTGTCTTTTATCCAACATTAAACACGATTAACGGTTCTCAAATTTTAATTTGTCAAACGATACGTTTTTCAATAATTGTTATGTATACTTTAGATACCTAGGAAAAAAAATTAAGTATAACCACTGAATAATATTTAATTTATTTATTATTTAAATTACAGATTATTACTTTAAAAGCTTTAAAAAACACGATGCATCGTTTTATCAATTGATGCTTAGTTTTCAACTTAACGAATTAGGTAGATTTGTCTTCCATTTTTTGCCTTCGAAAATATTAATATAATATATTTTCTTTTCTGTTAATAGTATGAATGTTATGTGACATGCAATAAATGAATAAATGAATAAATAGTAGTATAGTATAGTAAAAATAAATTGCAATAGTAAAATCCGTTCAAAAGTTCAATCATTACCGTATACATGTTATTTTTTTGATAAGCAAATATTTATGTAACTAGCGGCCGGCTTCGTCTTCGTACGCGTGGAGTTAGTTATTTGCACATACTTCCCCCCCCCCCAAAGGGAGTTTATTTCTAAAGATACATTATTAGTACATCTATGACTTTTAAAAACAACTATTGACCTCGCCCACATGATCTAAATTATTAATATCCAAAAACTGCTTACACATGTAATTCGACTTGATGTTTTTGAAATCTCATAGATGGCGCTGCTTTAAAATTGGCAATTACGTTTATCGGCCTAAGTTACTTATAGTGTGAAGCTAGCTTATAGCGTGGATCGTGGAAATTAAGCAACTTTCGCAGAACTTTCCTTTAAATTAACAGGCAACTTTGGTTTTAACAACTCTGTTTTACATGGTAACATAGTTCTAAGGTTTCTATTCATCAGCAACTCTGCTGGACTATACTCTAAATTGCTAATTGGTGTCGTTCTATAATTTAACAAGGTAAGATAGAAATCTGAACCAGTTTCTAAACATTTTTTCATAATATTTTTTATGATGCCCACTGCTTTTTCAGCCAAACCATTACTTTGCGGATAGTGTGGGCTTGAAAAAAAACAACGTTTTTAAAGTAACAACTATTAAATGGCATATTATCACTGACAATACATTTTGGAATGCCATGAGTGGCAAAAATGACCTTCATCTTATTAACAACTGAACTTGCAGTTTTATCCTTTAACTTTAGTACCTCTATCCATTTTGAATAGTAATCAACTACTATTAAATAGTCTTTGCCATTAAAGAAACAGATATCCATACCTAACCTTAAAAATGGAAGATTAGGAACCTCATAACAAAGGAGTGGTTCTTTACAATTACTAACCCTAAATTTTTCACACACTTTAAAGAACAAAATTTTCCACATCTTGCGACATTCCTACCCAAAATAATGATTGTCTAATACGCTTTTTACATTTCACAACACCTAAATGTCCCTTGTGCACAATAGCCAACATATCTTTTCTTAAAGTGTTGGGAACCACTATCCTATTTTTGTAATACAAAATATCATCTTTTACACTAATGAAGTCTTTTAACTTATATAAAACTTTTAACTCTTTTACACTTATATTTTTATCATTTTTTGGCCATTCTGTTTTATACCAACTTATACACTGCTTTAACACATTATCATTATTTGTCTCATTTTTTAACTGTAACAATCTCCTATCTGACACTGACAAATCATTTTCACAACTATGCACAGTTTCCGTTTCCACACTATGAATTAATTCTTTCAAACTATGATCTATTTCTGCATTATCTTTTATATAATTTCTGGACAAAAAATCTGCTATATACATTTTACTTCCAGGTACATATTTAACATCAATATCATATTTTAGTAACTTTAGTACCATTCTCTGTAACCTAGAACTTATTTTATTAATATCTTTGTTAACAATCCCAATTTTGGTTGCAACTGCAGTCGTTAGCACCCACCAATCCGCAATGGGCGTGCTTGGTGGATCTTACCCATAGGGAAGGACTGTGCCCCACGAGTGGACATTAATACGCTGATGATGACGATGACATATACTTTCCGTAAGAGAATCGAAAATGTTTAGTCACCCTACACATGTAATTTGTAAACAGAAGTCAAAAACGTACCTATTATTGAAATTCAACACCCAGCATACGCCTCACTTTTACATCATTTTGCATAAAAAAAAATATCATTTTGCACCAGCAAATCACAATAATTTGATCAAAATAATTTGTAGTTAGCATTAATAGGACTTCAATCCGGAAGAATATGAGCCATCTTGTTTATTGGAAGCATTGCAAGTGTTCTCATGCATAAATGCAAGTAACTACTAATGACTACCATTTTAAACAATTTTATTAGATATGTTATTTGTTTAAATAAAAATAAACTCTTCTTTGGTTGCATTGATATCAATAAATTAACTGCAATGAAACATAAATTCTAATTTAACATTCAAACTGTATGTTCTAGTTCTTATTAATGGTGATCGGGATAATGTGAAAACTACCATTTGATTATTTTTATTAACACTGATAATTGCAAGAAAGGGACAAACTCCACTTTCGTCGTTGTCCTGCTCGGAACATTTTTCCCTCTTATGAAGTTAGAAACAAAAATGTACTTCATGTAAAACTGGTTAGAGTACATTTTTTGAAATCTAATATTGTTTCGTAAGCATTCCAGATAGAATATAAGTTCCTTGTGTGAGTGTTACAAATCTGTACATATAATAAAATGGTAGTCGTAGTAGTAATGGAAATTCAAAACTGGACATTGAATATTTTTTTAAAAGAGTACTGCATGGATTTACTTCAAATTTGGCACGAATATTATTAAGAAGTCGGGTCAACATATAGGCTACATATTATCACGCTAACACCTACGGGGAACGAGCAGGGAACCTTTATTTCTAACTAACTCCACGCGTACGAAGTCGCGGGCGGCCGCTAGTATTATTAATCAAAAATAATATTTAGACGCGGCGGGCGCGAACGAGATGGAGTCATGGGGCGTGGCCCGACTAGTTGCGGCGTTGAGCGGGTCAGTGCGAGCGCGCGGCCTCAGCCTGGCCGTCATCACGCCCTACAACGCGCACAAAGATCTCATCAAACGGAATCTGAGACAACTGCTTGAGCCGTACGTTCCTTATTTTTCTTTTTTATATTTTTATGCTTTGTTGTTTACATAGAACGCGATTTTAAGATATAAAATTAGCAATACATGTTCTCAATTCAACTGTATGTTTATTACACGAGTATTCATAGAGTTGAAGTTCACAAGAGCTTGTAACAGCCTAGACTGAATAAATGATTTTGAATTTGAAACCAATTATGAATTGATTTTGGGCTTCTTCTCTGATTTAATTAATTGAGTATACACCAAAGAATTAAAATAAAATGGAATACGAACTGCGCTAAACAGTGGTTCCACGTAAACTGCGTTTAAGTGGACGGGGCGAAAATTCTGGGATCATCACGCCATCATGGTATTCGTTGGGAATCCCATTCCGGTTCCGTATGGAACCTTGTTTTAGCGGCCTTTGTTAAAGAGTATTGCTTTCATTCATTCCATATCATTTCTAATTCGTTGACTATAGCCCAGTACAGCTCAGCTCAGTTTTTTTTTATTTTTTTTAATGTTAACAACTTAATGGCACAAATAATTTTATCAACCAGGACGGAAGCGCAAGTGGAAGTGAACACGGTGGACAGCTTCCAAGGGCAGGAAAGAGACGTAGTGGTGGTCTCGCTCGCACGCAGCCACGGGGTCGGCTTCCTCACGGACGCGGGCCGCATGAACGTGATGCTCACGCGCGCCCGCCACTCGCTGCTCGTCTGTCTCAACCCACACGCCGTGCTCGTACGTTCACCCTGTGTTATGTAGCACCCTCCCCTCGCCTCGTGCGCGCGGTGCTAGAGAAAGAGAGAGGGACGTAGTGGTGGTCTCGCTCGCACGCAGCCACGGGGTCGGCTTCCTCACGGATGCGGGCCGCATGAACGTGATACTCACGCGCGCCCGCCACTCGCTGCTCATCTGTCTCAACCCACACGCCGTGCTCGTAGGTTCACCCTGTGTTATGTAGCACCCTCCCCTCGCCTCGTGCGCGCGGTTCTAGAGAAAGAGAGAGGGACGTAGTGGTGGTCTCGCTCGCACGCAGCCACGGGGTCGGTTTCCTCACGGACGCGGGCCGCATGAACGTGATGCTCACGCGCGCCCACCACTCGCTGCCCACCCATCCGAAAACAAGCCATTGCGAAAGTTGCTCATCTTCTACAGTCGCACACGCTAACCAATTGTTCGAGCTTTTCGGTAAGAGCTGCTTTAAAGTCTTTTCAGGTGAATTTTGTATACAGGGTGTAAAAACTCCTATGACAAAGACCAAAACTACGCATTCTGTACACCCAAACAAGAAATATTATACATGGGAATCATTTTATTTTAGGTTAAAAAAATACATTTTTTTCAGTACGCAATATATAGCGCGGCGCGATGTAAAAATCTTGAAAAAATATTGTGACTGACCTATATGGAGATATCGGATATCTCCAGAACCATAAATTTCTCAGGTAGAGGCCAGAAGAAAAAAAATATCGTCATGATGTGGAAAATTCGTGGCCTTCGACTTCGTTAGAGGTTTTTTACATTTATTTATACAATCTTAAATTTATTTCTATTACAGAGAAACCAACAGTGGCGAACACTTCTTGAAGATGCGCAGAGAAGAAAACTTTATACTGTCCTTCCGTCCAAGATGTGCCAACCCACCGGCGTCGTCACCAATGAAGAAATTCTTAAACAAATATCTCTACAATGACACGCAAGTGGTAAATATTGAAGGAAACTGTTTGTTTACGTGTCCAAAGTGGATTTATGGTTATAAAAGAAATCACTATTTTTTTACACATTAAAATATGTGAATATATAACGTGATGCAATTTGCTACAGTCAAAGTGAGTTTAAGTTGTTACAATAAATTATATTCGAGTTTACATTGGCATGACAATATACTTCCAAAATATGTAAATAATATAACACTTTTAGATTGTGTAAAATAGGTGCTTAAACCTATCAAATTTATATTGTATATCACTTAAAAATGTACAAGCTTACGTCAAGTAGACTTACTAGAGAGACTGACCTGATATCTCTGTGTATACTTTAGTCAAAGTGTATTGTATATATAGTTATAAAACACTAATAATAATATTTTATTACTTGATCGTTTTATTATAATAAACGAGCATTTGCATGATACAGATGATAACAACGCCAAAGTATACTCTCGGTCTTTAAATTCAAATAATAATGCTCCAAATGTTATATTTTGCTTTGTTTTTTTTTTGTTATATTTTTCTCATGCGACGTATTTGTGTCGGTTTACTAAGAATGCATTTAGTTGTCTTAAAATTTATTTTATAATTTAGTTGGCTTGTATGTTAATCCATTTTATTGTCATATTTTAATAGGTTTAGATTAGCTAGCAGCATTAAGATTTAATGAGTATAAATGTGCAGTCAGCATTTGTTGACGTTATTAGCTTATTAAGTAACTTTAAAATTAATGGGTCTGAGGATAGTAAAACGAATAATGTAAATAAAAAAAAATGGAAAATCCATGACATGGATCTATCGCCTAAAGAAGGTGAAAAAATTGAGCTAAAAAAATATACATAGTTGCAGAAGGGATAGATTTCATTTATAAAAATTATATATTCTCAGCTCTCTTGCCATAAGACATTATTTAAAATTATTATACCCAAAGCACCATGTTGAAAATTACTTAATAGATCTCGTTCAAACCAATTGTCGGTGGAAGTTTGCATGGTAACACATCATATATTTTTTCAGTTTTATCATTCTCTTATTTTAGAAGTTACACACATTTTACCTCTTTGGAAGTGTGTATAGCGCAAACTATTCAGTTTTAAAAAAAAAATATCAGAAACCTCAACATCGTTTTTGAAGACCTTTAAATAGATACCCCACACGAATGGATTTGATGAAGAAATTTTTGTTGAGTTTCAGTTATAAGTATGGGGAGCCACAAAAACTCAGTTTTTTTTCTATTTTTTTGTGAAAATCTTAATGCAGTTCACAGAATACATCTACTTACCAAGTTTCAACTGTATAGTTCCTATAGTTTCGGAAAAAAGTGGCTGTGACATACGGACGGACAGACAGACAGACATGAGAAATCCATAAGGGTTCCGTTTTGTGCCATTTGGCTACGGAACCCTAAAACCCTGGCAATATAACGCAATGCAGGTACCTATGCACAACGATTTTCGAAGTGTCCCCAATTCCAAGGAAGAAACCCAGGAGGGTTTGAATCCCGGTAGGCGCTAATATTTATGTGATGCATATGAGCATCTGTACCTGATTCATGGCTGTTTGAATAGGTACATTTCTATTAAATGAAATGAAATGAAAATCTTTATTGGCCATCTTGTATACAATAGTATAACCTACTAAAAGAAACAGAAAAAAAATAAAAATAAAAAAGAAACAACCTAAGAACAAAAATTAATCACTAAAACTAAGACGGCCTGATTGGCCGTCTTAGTTTTCAATATATTCCGCCGTCATTAAAATATACTTCTCTGCCTATGCATTATATATTTCCATCCAGTTTTACTGTGCTTCCTTTGGGATAAGATAATTAGTGTAAGTTTATTAATCAATTCACACTAGCGTATATATAAGTGAATTTCAGAAACGTAACAAAGCGACTTCACCATTATCACATTTATTAGTGCGTGCGCATGCTACGGAATTCCGCTGATTATAAACCGAGAAGTAATGTGCGTTACGTTGCGGAGAAACTATGTTTCTGAAATTCGCTTCGACTCTGTGCTAGTATGAATTGATCATATTTCAAAAACAATATATTCGGATAGCTAAATTTTGTTTCAAACGTAAATTAGGAAAGTAATGAAATTATACCACGAGCATGACTCAAAAAAGCGTGACGTGAACAATATCCCTACGTGCATGTGCCACATATGGGCCATACAGGAATATTGCTCTTAGTTTCGTACAATACGTAGTTCAGCGCCATCTAGTCATAAGTATGATAACTATGCACTCCAGTTAAGTATGAAATAGGTTACCTTTTGCGCCACAGCGGCGATGTGAGAAACAAAAATTTTTGAACTAATGTAATAATAATGAATGCAAATATTTCTGTGTGTAAATTTTTTATAGAGTTTTCATTATTGGTGTACTGATTTTCAGAAATGATATTTTCATTATGACTTAAATATTAAATTACGTACAATCGTTTACTTTCCGGAAACACTTCAGTAGCCGCGCCGATGCCCTGCTGATAATAGGTACTAACAATGTAGGCATGTCCTCAGACCAAATTTATTTGGTCTGAGGGCACGTCATGAAATTTGAGAAATGTTTATCATTATGTGCCTCGTTAAAATTGTGGCATGTAAATAGTGGCACTTCTGAATTGAAGCTATGTAGATTACTTTTGTTGTTTACGAACTTCCATGAGTCCAACCGTTACCTACCACTATGACTTAACCGCTAACTTTGAGCGTCGCTGCAATACTGTAAATAATTCCTCATTTTTAGAATAAATAAATTTAGTTAACATGCATACATAAAATTATGCAGTGATTGTAAATATTGATTGTTGCCTTGTTCAGTGGCCTATAAAAGGTTAGAATTATTTTAAGTGCAGTTTTTAAATTTATGATTTAATTAAAATAATTACTAATTACTGTTCACGGTATGGTAAATTATACATACTTAAGAATTCAGTAATAATTTCATGATTAATCTCTGGCCTTATCCTCGTTTTCTAATTGCAGAAATCATTGATATTACTGCCAGCTGATGTAAAAATTAAGTCTGAATTTTATTTTTCATGTACATACATAATTATATATTACTTTCTTGTGTACCTACATACAACCAATAAAATTGTTTGCTTTTCATTACCATGTTTGTTTTTGTAACGTACGGTTACAAATAAGCCAAAAATGTGTATCGTCTCCAAAATGGAAGTAATCTATACTAATATATAATATAATAACCTCTATCCGTCCGTTTGTGTCTGTTTACATATGAAGGGCTAAGGCTAAAAAAAGAGTAAAACTCGTCTTATTTTTTTCTTCTTTACAAGTGAATAACCAACGAAGTCCAGCACTTAACCATTTCTGCCCTGGAATAGAAAGCATCAGAACGAATTGTTAAAGCAACGTTGACTAACAAAAAAGGTAAATTTAAAAAATCGAAAAACCCCACTGCTTCAATATTACTTCAAATAAAAACTGAAAAGAAAAAAACAAGTCTATAATTCTGCTAAGTAAGGAACAAAGCTACTTTAACAGTCGGGGACCCATTATTGAAATAAAATTATTCATCCTTGAATATCTAATGGGTCCCGAATTCCCGATTGTTAAGTACCTAGCTTTGTTCCTTACTTAGCAGAATTATAGACTTGTTTTTTTCTTTTCAGTTTTTATTTGAAGTAATATTTAAGCAGTCGGGTTTTTTGATTTTTTAAAGGACATTGTTCTGCGTCCATACATTGTTAGCCTAAGATCCAACAATCATGAAATATTATTTTCTAGGTTCAAAATTTCAAGTAAATGACTGTAAAAACAAAGATTATTGACGGACACTTCTGAAAACTTAAATTAACAGGAAAATTAAATATTTTTTGAGGTTATATTAAAATGAAACATATGTCAACCTATGAACTTAGTATGAACTCAATATGAATTGAATTAATATTACAACTAATTCATTTTTATTCGGTGCGATTTTAAAAAATAATTAGGTAGGAATCATGAATAAAATAAAAACTGTAGTTTTGCTTCTTATTTTTTGACTATTTTTCACATAATTGTATGATATTGTATTTTATTTGTATAATGCGATTCAACTAAGAATAGGACCGACTGGGCGCCATATTGTGATGTCATAGCTGTCAATTCAAATCAAATAGGTAGAGTGAGCAAAAAAAAGTTTTTGTTTAATAAAACCTATTTACTAAAATTAAGTGAGAAAAACCATATTTTTTTAATAACATTTATTTACTAAGATTAAGAAAAGAAAACACCGATTTTTAATAATATTTATTTATTAGAACCATGAGAAAAAACATTAATCAAAATCTAGCTTATCTATTCAGCTCATCTCTGCATTACCGCCGGAGTAGTTATGAATAATCATGCTCTATTACTAGGTCACATACGAACATGCATCCTTTCTGTAAACGAAAGTTTGAAATCGAGTTTCAACGCAACTTAAAGTGACATTTGGTTGACGATTTAGGTTATTAACCATTCATGGCCAAAGCTCAATAGGTGAAAAAAAATATCAACCGATATTAATTATCAATATTTGTTATTCTTTGTTTACAAAAGCTTGGTTTTTATTTTTGAATTAGCGGAGTGCTAAAAAAGTGTTCTGAGATTTTTTTGCAAACTGTACTTTTCAAGCGACATTTGACAGATGGAGGTCATTGGCTTTCCTATTCTTATTTGAATCGCATTATACACACATACAACTCTTGCCTCTTTATAATACCTATTAGTATAGATAGGATAATAATATTTAACCTCTAGAACCTACATATTTGGTTCTGTGAATTATGTAAGTAAAACAAATTATGAGACAAGGATATGCATTGCATTTGTGTATGGGTCAGGCCGCCATTTTTTGCTGATATGGCGCAGAAGTATTGTGTTGGTGGCGTAGAAACTTCCGTCCATCATCGAAAATCCGATATCTATAATACTTTTCAAAATACTGACCGCGGAGAAAACAGTTTTCAAAATCAGCAAAAAATGGCGGCCTGACCCGTATATAACAATCTTAGAGTTGCGAGGCAAACTTGTACGGAAGAGTGTCTTGTCTCGGAAGGTGCCACCTTTGAAAAAGCAAAATGTTAAGGGAAGTTTGCTTAAAAAATATGTACACTAGACTGAACGAGAATGGAAACATGTGCTTTTCTCTGATAAAACAAAAAATAATATCAGCAGCTTAAGGCTAGGAAAATTTCGACGCGGCTAATAGGGCCGTGGTAGCATAATGGTCAGTGCATTCGCCCGGATAGCGAAGGATGCGGGTTCGAGTCCCGTCCGCTGCCTAGTCCGCGTGGATTTTTTTCTAGTAAACTTTTCTTTAGATTTAAACATCTAGCAGTTAAATGCTTAAAAAATAAATAAAATCATAACTATAATTGCTATTTCTTCTTTCAAATGTTTAATACTTGAAAAAGTATTCATTTGACATTGTGGGTTACCTACAATGCGAAGAGATGGCGCTGCCTTGCAGCTTAAGGCTAGGAAAATTTAGACGCGGCTAATAGGGCCGTGATAGCATAATGGTCAGTGCATTCGCCCGGATAGCGAAGGATGCGGGTTCGAGTCCCGTCCGCTGCCTAGTCCGCGTGGATTTTTTTCTAGTAAACTTTTCTTTAGATTTAAACATCTAGCAGTTAAATGCTTAAAAAATAAATAAAATCATAAAAAAATAATATGATTAATTCCGACGGAAAACAATATGTTAGACGCCCCCCGAACAAAGAAATGGATCCAAAGTATACCAAGAAAGTAGTTAAACATGGGGGCGGAAATATCAAAGTTTGGGGCTGTTTCTCAGGACTTGGTGTTGGACCTGTCAGGAAAATAGAAGACAACATGGATAAATTTCAGTACAAGAATATTTTAGGACAAGCCACTATAGTGAAGTATCAATATCGCAGTTTTCATTTCATTATTACATATACTCCATTTGGTTTAATTATCCAAAAATATAAAACTATTTCTAATTTCCCAAGAAGTCGTAGGGTACTGAGAGATTAAGGGATGTCTGTGTTTGGAGAATACTTATTAGGCAAATACTTGGCAACCTTGGCAAACAATAAATACCGTTTTAAATTTCGCTGATACACTATTAAAGTATAATTTATTGAAATTTCATTTTATAGGTTTAAAATCCTTGGTAGCTTTCCAATTACAGCATTATAGCGCATTAATAATAATATTCTTAAGAAAGGTTTACTAGAAAAAAATCCACGCGGACCAGGCAGCGGACGGGACTCGAACCCGCATCCTTCGCTATCCGGGCGAATGCACTGACCATTATGCTTAATAGGGCCGTGGTAGCATAATGGTCACCATTATGCTTAATAGGGCCGTGGTAGCATAATGGTCAGTGCATTCGCCCGGATAGCGAAGGATGCGGGTTCGAGTCCCGTCCGCTGCTTGGTCCGCGTGGATTTTTTTCTAGTAAACCTTTCTTTAGATTTAAACATCTAGCAGTTAAATGCTTAAAAAATAAATAAAATCATAAATAATATTCTTTATTGACATACACCTCACAGGACATACAAGACATTAAACATGACAGTGAAAACGTACACAATAGGCGGCCTTATTGCTAAACAGCAATCTCTTCCAGGCAACCCATGACAGTGAAATAAATAAATAAGAGGAACAAGAAGGGGGGGTGTAGTAGGTATGGTAAAATAAATAATGAATAATAGATGTAATAGATATATACAAAGAGAGAGACAAGAGAGAGGTAAGACTTAAAGTTGGGAAAGGAAATAACCTCTAACTTGATCACTAAACGAGCTTACAGTGCGAGCCTTTCGGATTGTTTCAGGTAGTGAGTTCCATAAGCGAACAGAATGCACAGAGAAGGAATATGAAAAGAAATCAGTTGAATGGAGTGGGACTGCAAGGGTTAGATTTGAAGAGGACCGCAAAGTGCGTTCTGATTTGGAATCAAGAAACGAGAAACATTCTTTTAGATAGGGCGGAGAAGTAGGGAGGAAAAGTACAGAATAAAGAACCGTTAGAGTGTGTAAGTCCCTGCGTCGGCGAATAGGGAGCCATTTTAGTTTGTGTCGAAAGTGAGACACATGGTCATATTTACGTAGATTAAAAATGAATCTGATACACATATTCTGCAGACGTTCCAGCTTGTTTAGGAGTTCCTCAGATATGTCAGTATAACAAACATCAGCGTAGTCGATAATGGAAAGTAAAAGTGTCTGAGCCAAAGTGACCTTTATACTTGTTGGTAAAAAAATTACGCAACCGGTTTAATGAATTGTATGCGGCAAATATTTTCTTTCTTACCGCTTCCACCTGTGGTTTCCATGAGAAAAACTGATCAAAGATCACACCAAGATTTTTCACCGTACTAGAGAAAGGGATAATAGTACCATCAAAGATAATAGGGGGCAATAATCCAAAATCAATCCTGGAAACAAAGTACGGACTGCCTATTATAATAGTCTGCGTTTTTGAAGGATTTACAGTAAGGCCGAGTGACTTAGTCCAACTACTAATTATAGCTAGGTCTGAATTGGTAGTTGCTATAGCGTTTGAGATATCAGATAGCGATGCTTGAGTGTAGATCTGTAGGTCAGCGTAAAGGTGATAGGAACTGGAAAGTATTTGTGAGATCGAATTTATAAAGAGAGAAAAGAGAAGAGGAGATAAGACGCCACCCTGAGGAACTCCGGCATTGATAGTGCACCACGCAGAGAAGTTGCCTTCGATGCAGATGCGCTGCCGGCGTCCTAGCAGGTAACTTTGAAACCAATCAATAGCCGCTGGAGATATGTTAAGAGAACGTAGAACAGCAAGAAGAATATCGAAATCAACAGAGTTGAAGGCGTTGCTCAAGTCAAGCAACGTCATCAGTGTAAGTTGACGATTCTCCATGCCACATCGAATGTCATCCGAGATCATAATCTTCGCATTATGCGGCATAATGCTTAACGTTGAGTGTTCCAACTACAGCAACGCTTCGCACAATTGAGCATTCTCAAAAGTAATGCTTTCGTGTGATTTTGCAATCGTACCAACTCAGAGACAGAAAATTAACAATGGTTTTTTCTTTAAGTTGGCATTGATCGAAATGTTTTATTTAAATGTTATCGTTAGTAATATTATTTATTGTTGAAAAATTATTAAAACTTTCGTTTCATCATATGATGTGCGTGAAAACCTAAGAAACGAAAATATGCTATTCATTTCGGAACCTATTTGAATAAAATAATTGTTTTTCTCTGTAATTGTTTGTTTCAAAACTGTACATCTTAATTTCCGACAATGTTATTCATATGTTGGTAATGGAAATAAAGTCGAATCAAAGATTGTTCAGGATTTATGTTGTGAGTTGCACGAAGAAGCTGATAGTAAAATTATTTATCACGCATGTAGCATTAGTGATGAAGCCAATATCGTTATCAGAGGCTCTGATACCGATATACTTGTGATGATGCTTGGTAATATGCATAAGTTGAAAAATACTTCTTC